GAAAGAGTTCTTGCGGAGCGCAGTCCGTTGTCCGATGGGGCGCGCGCCTGCGCGGTGCCCTCTGTTCGGCTTTTGGGCCCTCGCTCCAAAACGCTGCGTCCTCGATGGAAATATTTGGCCGCGACGGCCTTTTGCGGGGGCACGTGGGCGCGAGCCTGGGCACGAGCTGCCTGCTGCGATTGCGACGGCATGATCCGTTGTGCGGAGCCTCTCTCTGACGGCGTCTGACATCGAGCGCGGGGCTGCCCTCGTCCGAAGCTGTTCAGGCCCTGTGTTCTGCTGCAGCCGACCACCCGGACTGCTTGCAAGAGGAGACTGAGACCGAGGTCCGCGGCTTCTGGGGCGAGCTCAACTGGGGCCACCCTAGGCCAACTCTTCCCCTTCCGATTTCCTTCCCCGATCCCGTTTTGTTTGGTTCCCAGGGCCAGGTAATTTCTTGGGACTCTCTGGACATTTGGGGTCTGGATGCGCGCATGGACGGGCCTGGCCGGCTCCCGACGTGTTATTCATGATTTCAGTCGGGTTGCTTATGCCTGGGTGTTTTTAGACGCCGAAGGCAACATTGCGGCCTGCGCTCAGGGAGCTGCGCGGGGCGCGTAAGCTGCGCGTCAGATATCGAGGAAGCACTGCCATGCGGGCGCGTGCCGGGGGGCGTCCGCGCGTGGAAGGCAGGGCCGCCAGTGCGCCGTTTGCCACGCCCCTGCCCATAGGTCCCAGGAGGTGCTCGATAGTCTAGAGTGGGCCGAGAGGAGGATCGGCAGATGTAATAAGGCGGCCGATTCCTTAGCTAAGCGAGCCCTCCTCCTCCTCCTCCATCCCCGATCCCCCGAAGCTCACTATCAATATAGTAGCGAGCGATTGGACAACTTGCGTTTTGCGGCCGCCGCGTTGGCCAACCTGTCGCGTTTTTTCTCCGTCGAGAAGTTTGATAGACCCTTGTTAGGTCCGAGGTTTAAATGCCTTCGGTCTGGCGGTTGGCACCACTTTGAAACTCTTGACGGGGGCCGCGCTAGGTGCCTGAGATGCCTGCAGTTTTGGGCGGACATCGACAGCCTTCCTATGATAGTTTGTCGTGGCCCTCCGTAAGACCTGGAGAGGTGTTTGCTTTCCTTCTCGTTCAAGGAACAGATGCTTGCCCAGACCGCTGTCGCTCGTCGTGGCAAGATAACGTACGTGTTTTTGTTGTGCCGCGCGCGGCGTTTATACTTCGTGCCGTCGTTTTAAATTTGGTCAGGAGTGTCAGGGCTTTAAGCTTGCAGGTGCGAAGGCTACGCTGCCCCGACCTTTGGCTGGTTTGCGTTCTCATTGCAGATATGAGAACGAGCGAGTCGCCTCATCCTCGCGTCGAGGGGTGGACTACTTGTGCCATGCTGTGACCACCCGTCCGCCACCAAAGGTTGCTGCGACGACTGAGGGCCCCGAGGGTTTGATCCAAACGACAGGGGTGCTTGCTATGTTATCACTCATCCAGGCCAAACGGGCGGCACGTAGCGTCGGGCCCTCCCAAAGGGCAGTTCTGCGGGCACGCGTGCTAGGTGAGCGCGGGCGGCCTGCCAGGCCGCCGCCCGCAGCACCAGCGTTTCTCGAGGGGTAGCCCTGTTTTGGCGGTGCCAGACAGGACTTCACTTTTACGCTTCACCCCTCACGTTTCTCGTGCCGTGTGTGGTGTTGTATCCATGGGCGGTATTGCCCGGCGTGTCTCATGTGCTGCCTGGCCGCGCTGGCCTTGGTGTCAAGCTTGTGGCGAGAAGGGCATGCCTCAGGCTGGCTGCCAAATCCGACGATCAGCGGTGAACGTGCTTGTTCCCAACCATCTTGTGGTGTTGGGTCCTCGTTTTGAAGAGACGTCGCCCCGCGTTCCTTCTCCTCCCCTCCTCCTCTCCTCTCCTCCTCCCCCTCCTCCCCCCTCCTCCCTGCGTTTCACCCACCCAGTACATCGCTTCGTGGCCCCATAGGGAGCTCCATCGAAGGCCCCAGTGGCAGCGTTCGCATGGCGGCCCCGCCTCATGTCGGCACACCCCTCACGAGGATCGTGGCCCCATAGGGAGCTCCACCGAAGGCCCCAGTGGCAGCGTTCGCATGGCGGCCCCGCCCCATTTCGGCACACCTCTCACGAGGATCGTGGCCCCATAGGGAGCTCCACCGAAGGCCCCAGTGGCAGCGTTCGCACGCCCCATTTCGGCACACCCCTCACGAGGATCGTGGCCCCATAGGGAGCTCCACCGAAGGCCCCAGTGGCAGCGTTCGCATGGCGGCCCCGCCCCTTTTCGGCACACTCCTCACGAGGATCGTGGCCCCATAGGGAGCTCCACCGAAGGCCCGAATGGCAGCGCTCGCATGGCGGCCCCGCCCCATTTCGGCACACCCCACGAGGATCGTGGCCCCATAGGGAGCTCCACCGAAGGCGCCAGTGGCAGCAGACGCATGGCGGCCCCGCCCCATTTCGGCACACCCCTTACGAGGATCGTGGCCCCATAGGGAGCTCCACCGAAGGCCCGAATGGCAGCGCTCGCATGGCGGCCCCGCCCCATTTCGGCACACCCCTCACGAGGATCGTGGCCCCATAGGGAGCTCCACCGAAGGCGCCAGTGGCAGCGTTCGCATGCTGGCCCCGCCCCATTTTGGCGCACCCCGCACACGGTTCGTGACCCCATAGGGAGCTCCACCGAAGGCCCCAGTGGCAGGGTTCGCATGGCGGCCCCGCTTCATTTTGGCGCACCCCTCACACGGTTCGTGGCCCCATTGGGAGCTCCAGCGAAGGCCCCAGTGGCAGGGTTCGCATGGCGGCCCCAACCCATTTCGGCACACCCTTCACGAGGATCGTGGCCCCATAGGGAGCTCCGCCGAATGCTCCAGTGGCAGCGTTCGCATGGCGGCCTCGGGCCATTTCGGTACACCCCTCACGAGGATCGTGGCCCCATAGGGAGCTCCACCGAAGGCCCCAGTGGCAGCGTTCGCATGGCGGCCTCGGGCCATTTCGGCACACCCCTCACGAGGATCGTGGCCCCATAGTTGTGCTGCTTCAACAACCGCGCCTTGGCGTCGTACTCCGCCTTGTCGACGTGCAACGCCACCTCCTCCCTCATGGCTCTCAAGGCCCTCTCCTGCTTCTGCTCCTCGGTGAGAGGGACGCCGTCCTTGTCGTCGTCGGCGCCCGCGAAGACGGCCACGAACGTGTCCCTGAGCTTGTCGGGCTCCGGCGGGAAGCCGTGGCCACAGGGAATGCGGGCGAAGATGGTATTCACAATTGCGGTATTCACATCTGCATATGGTTGGGTCCTTCGCCAGGCTAATTTTCTTGCGGGTGGCTCTGCACGCACCCTCCACGCCCCGTGAGCTTTGTCGGCATCTGTGGACTGCCGCGTCTGACGAATAGCGTCGGACGTCGGTTTGTTCCAGGGAGGGCACTCAGAGCGCGTGCCCTCCATCGTTGGCGGAATTCTTGCCCCCTCGCCTCTGCCTGACGGGGCGCAGAGGAAAAACTATTCCGCCAGCGTCCTCCCTTTCGTCCTGGCAGATATCGGGCGCATCTCAAACATACGCGCGTGTATGTCAGCAAGGGAGGAGGGGGGGAGGAGGAGAGGGGTGGGGGAGGCGAGGAGGGGAAGAGGGGAGGAGGGGAGGGGGATGGGAAGGGGAGGAGGGGAGGAAACGGGGAGGGGAGGAAGGGGGGAGGGGAGGCGGGGAGGAGGGGGGAGGGGAGGACGGGGGGAGGGGAGGAGGGGATCAGGAGGGGAGGGGACGGGAAGGGGAGGAGGGGGGAAGGGGAGGAGGGAGGAAGCGGAGGAGGTGAGAAGGGGAAAAGGCGGGGAGAGAAGGAAAAGAGTAAGGTGAGGAGGGGAAGATGGGAGGAAGAGAGGAGTCAGAAACATTTGATGCACTCCTTACCCTCAGCCCTCCTCCATCATCTTCCCCCTTCCTGCCTCCTGCTTCATCCTCCTCTTTTCCCTGCCAAACCCACCTCGTCCCGCACACCCTCCCCGCCATCAGTGCACCCCCCCTCTTTGCCCAAGGGCCAAGCATCCGAGGGCACCGGTTAACAAAGGGAAGGCGGCGAGACTTTTCGCGAGGGAGGCGACCTTTCTGACAGATAGTCTGAGGTCAAACTCAAAGGAGACACAAAATGTGAGGCGGTCCATACATGGCCTCGCCTTTGAGGATCGAACGATTTGTCACCTCGTCCTCGGCGGAAGGCCGCAGAAGGTCCGCGGATGGTGGAGGAAGGAGCACGAGGGCAGTTCCGCCGGCGGAAGCTCGGCGGATGCCGGCGGAAGCAAAAGTCGACCTCCCAAGAGATGACCACATGTTTGGGTTCAGGGTTTCCAGAACTGTACATGTGCCGCCGCGCCGTTCGTTCCGACGCGCGGCTTTCCGTCCTGGGGATGGCGCCATGGCCTCTGGAGCAAATGCCGCCTCAGGCGCCGGGGGTCTGCTGTGGGCTTGCTGCGGCGCCGGCGATGTCTGCTTGGGCGCGGGACGCAAGGTGTGGAGAGGGTTTGCCGTTGTGTCGGCGTCGTCCACTGGGGCGCGTCGAAAACAAACGGCGCGGCGGCATGTCGATACCGATACCCTCTTCCTGGACTTATCTTTTTTCTGGGCCTCCTGAGGGGTGGCCTCGCCGCCACGGCTGGATTTCAACCTCGGAGTATCCTGGTCAGAACACGCTCTGCGAGAGGTCTGGCGAGTGTCGGTATCGGTAAGGTCGGACCGAGGTATGAGATCGAAGTCGGTTCGGGGAGCGTGCCCTATTGTTCTTCGTGTGTGATGGATGCTCTTGTGCAACCTGGGGTGCGTGCTTTGGGTGTTATGTGTGTTCTGGCCGGCGAAGGGTCTCGTGTTCTTGGAGGGTGTCTTTCTATCCTTGGTCCGGCTACTTTTCGTGTTCTCCCCACAACGTCTGAGGCGGCGCAGTTCAGAGTAGGGTGCGCGGTGCCTTAAACGACTGGCTTATCTTACCAAGTGTTTCGTGGGCTCTTACCCTTCTTTGGCCGCGCACGAAGGTCAAGAAGCAGTGGCTCAGACGCTGGCTCGGGGACAACACCCTCAACGACTTCGACATGCGTAACATCATCGACTGGGACTACTACAGGGAGCGGCTCGTCCAGGTCTTCCTCAAGCTGATCTGCATTCCTGCTGCCTATCAGGAGCGTCTCTTCCAGCAGCATCTCCTCTCTGGGATTCTGGGGCATCTGGACTGGGGCACGCACGCCTGCAGCGCGACCGCCTGATGGGACCGCCTGGCTGGGAAGAGGGCTCGGCCGTCCCAGAACTCCGACGTCATGTGGTCTGCCCCGGACGTGTGCACTGGCCCGCCTGACCCCACCCCCAGCGCGTGCGTTTCCCGTAGCGGACCGGTGTTCTCCAGGGCCCTTGGGCCCGAGGGCGCCGAAAGCTGAGGGGAACCCGCAGCCTGTGAGCTTTCCGCGACTCCCGGGGGTCTGGGTAGGACGAGGATGGGGATCTTTTGTGATGATGGCAGGAGGAGGAGGAGGAGGAGGAGGAGGAGGAGGAGGAGGAGGACCAGGAGGAGGAGGAGGAGGAGGAGGAGGACGAGGAGGAGGAGGACGAGGAGGTCGAGAGGGAAGAGGAGGAGGGCGAGGAGGAGGAGGAGGATGAACATGAGGAGGAGGAGGAGGAGAAGGAGGAGGAGGAGGAGGAGGAGGAGGAGGAGAAGAGGAGGATCACTGACCAAACTGCCAGGACTGCGAGCAGGCCGCCTTTGCACAGTCCCTGGGCGGAAGAGGGAGAGCCAAAGGCGGACGCCCGTTAACTGGGGAATCCCCAACTCACAGTTTGTTATTGTCGGTTGCTAGCGAGGGCGAACCCTGCCTAGTAACTGACGATAGGTCTACGCGGTACCGGCGCCCTGCGCGCGGCAGTGCCTGTTGGGTGCGGAGGTGGTGAGGAGGCCCCGCGCCTGCGGCCGCCGCCCCTGCCTTGTGCCAGTGCCGACAACGCGTGTGCGAACGGAGCGCGGAGAAGAGGGGCACACCTGAGACACTGCAGGGGAGATGGGATCGAGTGGGAGCAGGGCTGGGGCGGGGTGAGCTTAGCGGCGGGGCCAGGGCCTATCCTCACTCCCTGCCAGGAGGGCGAGCCACGCACGAGCAACAGGATTCTTTTGCTGGGGCACGGCTAGCAGTGCAACTTCGTCATTGGGACTTGGTGGGGTAGAAATTCACGACGGCGCCAAACCGGCGGCAGTGGTGCGAAGAGAGTCGCGTTTTCGTGACCATTACGTTGCGAAGCACCTTGCGCAGGGGCAACAATCGTATTCAAGGCTCTAATTTAAGTGGCCCGTGGCCGTTGCCTCCCGTGGCGGCCCTCAGGCACTGGGCCTGCACCAGAGATGCTCACCCACGCATCGCTTTCCCACGCATGACTGCTGGACAATGGGCTGCCCACGCGTGACAAAGGTAGATATAGCAAGGGTGCTGACAGGGTACGTCAGATAGCCAAATGGTGTTACGCTGCCACCGAGTGGAGATTGGAGGGCATGGAGGGCTGCTCTCCTCCGGAGGTGGAGGAGGGAGAGGAGATGGGGGAAGAAGGGGAAGGAGAGGGAGGAGAGGGGCGGGGGCGCAGTCCAAAGAAATCTCCCCCCGAGCCGAACGAATGTAACTTTTGCGGGGCTAGTGCCGCCATAAATTGCACCCTGGGCGGGGCGGCTGGGAGTAGTGCAGCACGGGTGCGGCCCCCAAAGCGTCGGCGCTCGGGCTGAGACGGCAGGGGATCCAGCGGAAGAAGCGAGCTTCAGCTAATCCCCTCCCTCCCCCAGACTCCCCAAGGCCACAACCCCCTCTGCATCCCAATTCTATGGGGCGCAGGAGAAGGAGGAGGAGGAGGAGGAGGAGGAGGAGGAGGAGGAGGAGGAGGAGGAGGAGGAGTTGAGGAGGAGGAGGAGGAGGAGGAGGAGGAGGACGAGGAGGAGTAGGAGGAGGAGGAGGGGGAGGAGGAGAATGAGGAGGAGGAGGAGGCAGAAAATCAGGGGAGAATCAGCGGAGAGGGACTGGCAGGAGGAGGACGCGGGGAGGAGGAGCGGAGAGGAAGGGTGTAGTCTCGTGCCCTCGGCGCCGGCGATGTGATGGCTGCCGCCAGAACATCTCGAACCCGTGCCCCCGCGTGAAGCTCCCCGATTGGCTCCGCAAGCGCGTGGCGGTGACTGGCTGCCCCTGGGATCCCGCCGGCGTCGGAGCAGGGAAGATTGGCACCGCCACCAGATTGGTGGAGGGGCAGATCGGCACGAAGTCAATTAGCAAAACACGATACGACCATCACTTCTCGAAGGTCCGCACGGATTTCTTGGATCGGAGTTGGGCCCTCCTGGCGGCGCCTTTGGTGCTGCCCCTGGCGCGCTCCGCACGTCAGGAAGAGAGGGGCCGGGGGCGCCGATCCAAGAAATCCGCCCGGATCTCCGAGGAAGTATGCGGCTTGTGTTCGTTCCTCTACGAAGGGGGTCCTGGATATTTTTTCTCCGCCTCCAGGATCCCAAGGCCAACCCGGGTCCCCGGGGCCGTCAACCGGGTCGGTGTCTCTGGGGAAGCCCTGCGGTACCGCCCGTCTTCTCTTGGCCTTTGTTCCCCTCTCACCAAGTGGCGTGGAAAGGAAGGAAGACATCGCCACACGTTCAAGGGGTAGCACCGAGAGTCTTGTCGTGTCGTAGCGTCGCTACTTCTCTGCGTCCCGCTCGAGACACTTTCGATCTCCAGCCCAGACCTCCGACGACGTGTTTTTTCACAGCGTTGCTCCCAGGAGGTCTGGGCCCCTCGCCCCGGGGCGGGTATGTCATCCTGAGTCGTTTCTGACGGCACTGTGGCGTCGTGAGGGCCCTCGGAGGCCGAAGAAGGCCATAGGCCTTCCGTCGCTGTTTTCTCACGAGGTGAGGAGGTCTGGGTGGTGGTGGCGGTGGTTGTGGCTCTGGTGGTGGTGGTGGTGGTGGTGGTGTCGCGTCTCCTTCCTCCGATCAATTGGTCCAGTCGCAGGTGCCCTGGTCGGGTCTCGTGGCGGCGGGGGCAGGGTCGAGTACGCCTCCGGAGGCCCACCCCGAGGCCAAACGCATTGGGACAATAAACGTAGGCCCCCACAAAAGAAACATAGTACTGATACTGCTACTAATCGACACAAGAGAACATGTATATCTACATATCTAGAAAACAGTTTTCTCCGACGACCACTGGACACACCCAGCAGCAAATGATTCAAGAATGTTGGTGTGTGGATCGTTTGGTTGGTTGTGTACCCAATTGGGTGCGGTCTGCGTCAATGCGCTTGTGCGAGTGGGAAGCGGGCGCAACTTGCACGCTTGCACGCGGGATGTGCAACCACGAGTATTGTGAAGGTCTTACGGCCGGTGCCGCCGACCTGAAGGGGGACAACCACGACGACGGCGACGACGACGACGGCGGCGGCGGCGGCGACGACGACGACGCTGACGTGGGTCAGAGTCATCAGGGATGCTGTTTGGAGTCTCTTGTCAGCGCTGTCGGAGGCCTCTGGGGGGCAGTTTTGGGTCCTCTTGGGAGCATCTTGGGGGCCTCTAGGCAGCTTCTTGGGAGCCTCTTGGGGCTTCCTTGGGGCCTCTTGGGGCCTCTTTGGGCCCTCCTGGGATCCTTTCGGGGCCGAGGGCTCGAAATGTCCGTTCGGTTCCCCCGTCAGGGCACCCTGTTGGAGACTCTTGAGGCGCCGGCGGCCCTAATGGGGGTCTCGTGGAGAACTTTTAGGGACTTCTTCGGGCTTTCCGGACCGTGCGGGGGGTAAGCGTCCCGACTCGAACGGGGAAGCCTCTCACACACGCCGACAGAGTCTGCGGATTTTGCAACTGCGGAGTAATCCGCAATCCCACTACGTCGCCAGGAGAAGTGCGATCCCATTTCCCTTGCGGCGGCGTCCCCCGCATCTGGAATTCAGATTGCCCGTGTATAGATCTCAGCCACCTCATCGACCTCCAGCTTCCGACGACTCAGCATTCCGACCTCCAAGATCCAGCATCCGACTCGCCACTCGCACTTACACCTACGTATCGACCTCGAGCCTCTACCTGCTCAGCATTCCGACGTGTAACATAACATCTGACATCCCACGTCCCATTTCCATCTCCACTTGACTTGTTGACCCCCAGCCTCCACCAGTCCGACATCCTGGCCTCCAGCCACCAACTTATCACTTGCACCTCCACCTACGTCCTACGTATCGATTTACAGCCTCCACCAGCTCAGCACTCCTACTCCCAGCATCCAGCAAGACCTTCCACCTCCACCTCCGACTATCGACCTCCAACCTCCACCAACTCAGCACCCCGACCTCCAGCATCCACCATCCGACTTCCCACTCCCGCTTAAACCTATCGACCTCGAGCCTCTACCAGCTCAACATTCCGACCTCCAGTACCCAGCATCCGACCTTCCATTCTCACCTCCACCTATTGACCAGCAGCCTCCAGCATCCGGCATCTGATTTCCACCCCCACCTCTACATATTGATCTCGAGCCTATACCGGCTCAGCATTCCGTTCTCCAGCATCTGGCATCCGACCTCCCATTTCCACCCCATCTATCGACCTCCAGTTCCCACCAAATCGACATCCTGACTTCCAGTTGCCGACTTATCGCTTTCACCTCCAACTCCACCCATCGACTTCTAGCCTCCACCAGCACTCCGACCTCCAGCATCCGGCAAACGACCTTTCTGTGCCACCTCCGACTATCGACCTCCAACCTCCACCAGCTCAGCACTCTGACCTCCACCATCCGGCACCCGAGCTCCACTTTCACCCGCACCCACTGTCCTCCAGCTTCCACCAGCTTCAACACTTCGACCTCCAGCCTCCACGTCGACATGAGCACTCTTCACCAACAACAACACCAATCCCAGACAAGGCCAAGCCAATTGCAGAAAACACGGCCTGGCACCAACACAGACCACAATAGAGCAATCGTTACGACGACACGCCCACCCAACGACGCAGCCCCCCGGACACGACAGCTCCAACGACAAAGATTCGTCCTTCCTCCCCCTTCTATATGTCTCGCACGCATGCCACACCATACACAATAGTATGTTGGAGGCCACGGCCTCACTCATCTGGTCTCAAGTAGGCCCGGGCTGCATTCCCCATTGGTGGTCTTCTGTTCGTTCATTGTATGGATTTCAGATTGCCTCCTCCAGGGGTTTGGGCGAGGCGTTCCGCTTGACACTTCTGCAGGTAAGCGATTTAGATTGGCCCCGTCCGAGCTTCAGATTCGGCGGGCCTGAAATCCAGATTGGACCGGATTGAATTTCCGATTGCCCTTGTCCGAATTCCAGATCTGGCGGCGCCGCTTGGAACGTGGCCTGGGCTGGGTGCCGGTTCTGCCGAGCCACGTGAGGCCCGTCATTGCTGGCCCGTCATTGCTGGCCCGCGCTGTTGTGGCGCGTGACCATTGGCGCATATCAGGTGCGAGAGATGGTACAGCCAGACCGAGGTATAAGATCGAGGTATGCTCAGGGAGGGAACCCTAATGTTCTTCGTGTTTGTTGGATATTCTCGTGCATCCTGGGGGGAGGGTGCCCTCGAATGTTCTTCAGTTTGGCCGGCGGAGGGTCTCATGTTCTTGAGGGAGGTTCTTCTGTCCTAGGTCCGACTGTATCGAACCCACTGTACTGGTGATCCCAAGGACGTGGCCCGCCACTCGGGTCCAAAGCACTGGACGTCGACGGTTGGTGGTGGCTGGTGGTCGCACTACAACCACGAGCTCTTCACAGCGCGGAGACCCCAGAGATCTACGTAGACAGTCTTTCCCGGGCGGGCTTTTCATCCCGAGTTGTTTTGACGGTCCGGGGCACGATGAGGGCGCCCACAGGCCAGGAATGGGGCAAAAGCCTCCCGCCGTTCACAAGGAGAGCAGACTTGAAACCTCCTGCTTCCAGCTCAGCTCCTCCTCATCCCGGCCCCTCGACCCTCCGAGGGAGAGCGGGTGGGTCGAAGTCTCTGGGGCATGCGAGTCGCGTGGTCACGAGCCAGGGGGGAATCAGGGCATGCGGGAAGGTCGCGACGAAATCCACACATCCATTGCCCCCTGGCTGCGCTCTTCCTGGGCCCAGGAGCTGTGTACACGCCCTCCTGGTCAAGGCAGGAGGGCGTGGCGTATATGCCGCTGCTGGGTTCAGGATGGACCTGGCCAGGGAGCAGTAGATATGTATAGATTTCGTCGCCCTGTGAATCTAGGCCTCCCAGATGGGATCGCAGTAGACGGGGTCGGAGGATCGCGCGGCATCGCCGATGCATCTCCGATGCGGCGCGATGCGGAGCCCGATTATATCCACGCCGACGCCGCCGACACACCGCCGACGTCGTCGATACGTCAACGATGCATTGCCGATCCATCGGCGATGCATTGGCGATGCGGCGCGACCCTCCGACCCTATCTACCTGGACCCTATCTAGGAGGCCTCTAGTCAAGGACCTCTCGACTCAGGCATCCAGCTCTTCGAGTAAGATTGAGGCGGCCAGTCTGGTGCCAGTTTTTGGGGCAGCCCTGGGCCAGCTTCCAGCGCCAGGGCAAGCAGGAGGCGATCGGGAGCGAGAGGCCAACACTTGGGGCATGGACGAGAGGTCTGGCGGCCTGCGCACCGAGCAAATTCTCGGAGGCGACGATAGGGGCGAATAGCCCAGGGGGGAGCACTACATGTATCCAGGGCCGCCAGTGGTCCATGTCTTCGGTCTTCGGCAAGGCTCCAGGAGGGATACGTGTGATGCCCGCCCTGTCGTCGCCTCCGAAATTCATGCAGTGGCGAGTTCTCCTGGCCTGCCTATAGGCCCACCGAAGAATGTTCCAAGAACTTCTTGTGGTTTGCACGAAATGCTCTCAGAGCAGTTATGGCTGAGACAGTCTTGGCTTGTACATCGGGCGTCCGTTCGAAGACTATTCTTCTTGTCCGTGGAACAGTTGTTTGTTCTGATGACGTTCCGTGGTGGGTCTCTAGGAACGCTGGGACGGTCAGTCCCTGTTCAATCGAGAGGCCTGGGGGCCTGCGCACCAAGCAGATCGGAGCGTCGGATTCGCCGTGTCCTCCGCCACAAAAAAATAGCGCAGACACCCTCCAACTGATTGTTCCTGGGCCTCAGGGGAGGGAGGCGGCGTATGAATC